AGTATCCACCAAACGCTGATCATCAGAAAACCTCTGTACACTAGGCATGGAAACATGAAGTGATTTGCGCAAAATCATGAAGGAAGCTTGTGGCATAGCTGCAGAACAGACAGCTTCTCTAGTGACAAATTCTCTGTGTTGAATACTCTGTTATTCAACACAGAGAATTACTGCTGTGAATACTCCAGTGATTCTTTGATTCTGCGATTCTTTTGACTCTTTGTCATAGTATCCAACTTCGGCCAGTATGAAAGCTGAGTTCCTTTTTCAAAAGTGGTTACAGATTGGGGTATTCCTGTCACATAGCTAAAATATTCAGAACCATAAATTTGATACATTTACCCACATACACCCAACAAATGGCATGAAAGGAATGAATATGCCTTGCTATCACTGTAGAGTGGGGGCTCTGCCTTGCCTAAATCAGTCCTATCTTCCACTAAGCTCATCACTGGCTCATTTAATATAGCTTTGGCAACAGAAGTCTACTTTAATCTGACACAGTGTCTGCTGTAAATCATTAGCTCAGTCTCACATCAGGCCATTTTGGTTTTGGAGCAGAAACATGTTGCAAAATCTCCTGAGAGAGATCAGTCATCTAATGAAATTGCTTATTTAAGAGAGCTAATCATAACAATAGAGAAGAGCTCAACATGGACATTTTGGGACCAGTCAACCTTTTAAAAGAAGACATTGCTTAACTTGGATGTCTCACTTCTACTGCAGGTCTCCCAGTGTTATTTGTGCTTATACAAAGTTACACAACGAATCAATATGAAACTCCAGACTCAGTCCTTGTGGCTTGGTGCTGTGTACTCATCATCACACTGCACTGCCTAGCAATTAACAAGTCTCCTCTAACTTGCCTAGATATCTGTGAATCTGGTGTGTGGATTGCAAACAGCTCACACTGGAGGCTGAGTGTAATGGGCATTTTGTGCATTGATATTCATTAAAATCACAAAGGAAAAAAAAATCCTTAGGATAAAGTTGGGTTTCTTTCAAGAGTATCTCTTCCCATGGCCAAAACTGCATTGAATCATATATCATACAAACTCTGTAAGTGTCAGAACCTCTGCTCAGTTCAGTTAAGCTTGCATTTGAAGGCTGAGTCTGACAGTGTGAGCAGTTAAATGTAAGACTGTAGGACACAAATTCAAAAGAATGCAGGGTAGATTTTTTTCCCTAAAAGTCATTATTAAAAATCATTCATAACAATAATACCCAGATATAGTTTACAGTCTAGGACTCAGGTTTTAAATCATAGCAGGATCATTTCTGATTTGAATCCTGGCAGATAAGCTCAGTCCTTTGTCCTCTGGTTGGAAGTAAGTCAATACTGTTATTTTTTTGTGAAGAAAGGTCTTTGACAACCAAAAGAATAAATTAAGATCTTAAGTATCCTCAGGAAGGTCTTTAGACCTCACGCTCAAAGCAGGCTCAGCTATAAGGTCAGACCAGATTGTTCAGATGCTTATGCAGACTGAACTTGAATACCTCCAAGGATGGAGAGTGCACAATTTTTTTGGGCAACCTGCTCCTTGGCCTGTGTTACAGTCCAAATTTAATTTGGGAAATGCTTATTGGAGTCTTTCACATGAGAAGCTTGCCCATCAGAACAGAGACTTTGCAACCCACATGGTTTTAAGGAGTAATAGCAAAATAAATACCTCTTTATTTCCTTATTTATTTAATTTTATATTTTAACAAATGCCTTTGATTTGATAAAATTCAGAACAGACAAGCATGTTAGCTACCTCTTTGAGAAACAGCTCTAGGTTGGCTCCAGATGTTCTCTATTTGTAGTTTCTCTCAATACATTCAAGACTCAGTTGTGGACTGTGGTCAGTCAGCAGCATTTTGAGCACATAGCACACACATAGATGTGCCTTTCAGTGGTATACTCATAAGGAGGCAGCTCACACAGAGTTTAGAGCCTTATTATAAATAGCTGAGGCAAACAGAGCTGATCTTTAGCACCAGGGCTCACTCCACAAATGCTTGTTATGAATGTGAGGTCAGGGCAGGGAGAGCAAGTTTCTTCCCAGTACTTTGGATGGAGCACAGAGAATGGACAAGTGGGAATTTAGGACTAAAGATGAGCTTTGGTAGACTAAAAGGTCTCACATTTTGTATATTTAGAGAAGTATGGTTTCCCTATTTTGACTGGAGAAAAGTACCTTTCACCTTGCATGACCATTTAATGCTTTCAAGGATACAAACAGGGTGAAGGATTTTACCTCAGTAGTGAGGTTCTAACCTGCTTCCTAGAAGGAAGACATTTTTGCTCCTTTTTCCCTCATTTTTCAGTACCCAGATGGAAGAATGTGGCTTTAAAACACATGTGTAGGAAACTAGGAATCTTGAGGCTTTGTCATGCCTTTGGCAGTGCTGACATCAGCAAGATGTCTCACTGAAGAGCCTGGCAATTTTCCAAGAGGGAAATTATTCTTTTTCAGTTGGAAACAGATAGCTTGTCATCAGCCAAAATGCATGGCAAACTCCAGCACATTGTAAGGATTCTTCACCCAACTGTCCCAAAAGCATCTCTGGGAATCCCACTGTTCTCTGGCACACTTCTTATGGAAGAGCAAAGCAGGAGGCTGAGATGTAACTTTATAAGGTTATAGAATTTAAGGACTTTCACACCAATTAACTCCAAAGGATATAAAACAGTGACTTATATAATAATGAGTCAAGGCTCACACAGTGATAAAATAATAGGAATTTTCAGCCTAGTTCAACCAAGAAACCCATCTGTCTTGCCCAATAACCTGCTACA